AATGTTTATATTCTTCCTATTTATGATTAATGTATCTTCTCCATATAAACATCGGAACCATTCATTCTTTCTATCACATGTTAAAGTTCATGTATGCGAAAAATTACACAATTTGGAAAATCTTCAACCATCCATATTCATCAAACAAATGGTCGTTTCATCATGAGGATGATACTTGTTATCAAAATCGTCGTTTGGTTTTACAAGCATTGATGGCTAAATGATCTTTAAATTGAATAATTTTTTGCATATATAATTTTTAGATTATAAAGAGAAGAAATGGATCCAATTATGATATTTATATGGTGAAGATACACTAATTATAAGTGGTGAAACAAGTAGGTTCCCCAATACAAATTTCATAAATTATGCGAGTGTACGTTATTTTATTAGGGAATAGTATCCAAGTTACTTGACTGTTTTTAGGGGGTAACAAGTATTTCATTAATTGAATAAGAGGGAGAACTCAATCATTAGGAATACCATTTCATGATTATAAACGTAGCAGAAATACAATACCAAACCTACCCATATAACCACATCCAACCAAATGAAAAGATAATATTCACCAGGATAAAATCTTGCATCTCTTTCTGATGAACTTGCAAAAGATGACGCTCATTCGACAAAGAAGCCTTGCTACGAGACATCACGAAAATATTCTCATAGTCCTTTGTCAAACGACAAACAACTAAACCACAACAAAAGAAAAGGATAAATACAAAATAAACTCTTCATAGGTATGATTCCTCAATCACGGAAGATCCACACCTAACCACTAGGAAAGATAAGCACACAAGGCCCAAGGCCTAAGCCCTATAAGCCGGACCTAACACCGTCAAGACACATGAGGTAAACATAGTACCATCACTTGAAGACTTTGCAACAACAATAAAACATGATTGTGAATCCCTTGAACCACTACAACAACCCAACAAAGGAAAGACCGAATCACTCTTTGATGAGCTTGCAATTGTCGGCAAAAATTCCTACCATGATTCACCTCAAACAAATGTCGAGCTTCCTCTGCATAATCCTTGCCAAACACACAAACCACAACATCACCACCTCAAATTTGAATAACAATTGTCTCTTTCAGATCTGTGGTTGGACGATAAATCATAACTGCTACAAAAGCTCTCCTCCTCAAAAAGAAAGTGACCACAATCAAACCACAACTTACTATTTGGGTCTCATTAGTCATCACATACAATTTGATCCCACAACTTTCTCCCGATCTTATTGGGGTCAATGGCTTTCTGTTTTTATGTTTGTAATTTTTCTCAATTTATGCATGTTATTCTAACCTTTTCTCTATCGTTCTAATTTTATGAGATATCTCCGAACTCCGAAGAGACTTGTATTTTTAATCTGCCCTTTGCATTATTTAACACTTAATTATTATCTTGCATGGTCTTACATAATTTTAAATTTATTCGTCTATCTGCATACTTATCTTGTTTTGTTTGGTCCTTCCAAAACCAAACGTAGATGTCCCATATAGATTTGCAATCTGCACAACAACACAAGCTGCCATGTATAGCTGTAGTCTTCTCTTCTATACATGATGCATGCATGGATCCAAGAACTGGGATGGGACTTGTACATCTCCAGCCGTGAAGTGATAATGTCAGAATGAGATTCCAACTGATTCACATGATAAAGCAATAAAATGTGAGCTTATGTTTACACTTTCAAATGTGAAGGTAAGACTTTAATTTCGTCAGTGTCACGTCTCGAAAATCTATCATGATTTAGCAGTACATAGAATTCTAAGAATGTATCGCTCAATTGTCAGAGCGTTCTATTCCCAAATACCCTCAAGATACATTGATCCCTTTCTAAATAAGTGAAAACTGGTGGATCAAACGTTATAATAACAACGGAAATTGAAAATATTTGAAATAATTACAATCGGCAACCGAAGGTAACAATAGTATAGTAGTTCTATGTAACCATAAATATAAATACTGAGGAGTTGAACATATTTTTCCAAAATTCTTCGTCTTTGATAATAAATTCTTTGGATCTCACAATCAATGTCTAGAAAACTTTCCCTACAAGAAAATATCCCTATAACAATTTGAGATTGGCGTGTTGAAACATATGGACAACATGAACTAGAAAAGTGAGCAACAACTACCCCCATATAGTAGCTATTTGGTTGTTGTTGCTAGAGTAACAATGATGTTATCAATGTGAAAATGGTGGAAAAAAGTAATAAAAAAAAAAAATATATATATATATATATATATAGAGATTATATTCACACACCCCAAATTACTTTCCTCACACCCTTTTAATTTTTTAATTGGGACACTTTGGATGCGGTTCCTAGCTATTAATATTCTTTGATTGAAACCTTGTTAGTTTTTAGTTTTTAATTGAGGTCCTTGACATTAATGTAATAATGTAAGTTACTATATTTTTTAAATTAAAAATTAAAATTTGAAATTTGTAATTGTTTATATTAATGAGATTTTAAATAAAACCCATAATTTATGGGATTAAAAATAATAAAATATAAATTATACTCTCTATTATATTGTGTGTGTGTGTGTGCGTGTCTCTGTGTGTGTATATATATACATATATGTATGTGTACATTAACCAAAATTAACAAAAAAAGTTATTGTACCAAAACATGGATACATTCTCAAATCAACGAAAAAGAATGTACCCATATAAGTTTAAATATGGATTAAAAAATTTGAATGGATTTTATATTAAAAAAGGGTACATTTTACGTATAACAAATTGATATATTTGAGAATGGGTACATTTAACATTAAAAAAATTGAAAAATTATATGAATGGGTACATTTAAGATAAAAAAAATTGAGAATCTTTTTATATATAAAAAAAAACTAATAGGTACAAACTTAATTTAATTTAATTTTTTATTATTTAGAAATGTTTGAATTGAAAATTAATTAGAAGTTTAATAGAGGTGTGAGTATTAAACCCTAAATTAATTACTAATTTTTATATTAAAAAATTATATAATAAACATGTAAATTCATTATCACATTAATGCTAGGGACTTGAATCAAAATTTGAGAACTAATAAGGTTTTGGTCAATGAACACTATGAACTAGGGACCGGATACTAATTTTTCCTTTTTAATATTTTTCTATCAAGTGTTAGTGGTGTGTAGAAAATATTAAAAAAATTAAAATAGTGTGGGAAAAGTAATTTGGGGTGTCTGAATATAATCTCTCTATTTATATAGTATGCATTAGTCACCATTGTGCTATAGCTATTACTTACTTTTTTTATTTTTGTCACATTTTTCTCATTGACAACATCATTGTTACCGCAGCAACAACAACCAAATAACCATGGAAATTGAAGGTAATTCTAAGGTGCTAAAATAGATTATTAATAGAGATTGGAAACTGAAGGCTCAAGTGTTGACTCCGACTACAACTCTCCGGAATGGAAATTGAAGGTGATTCTAAGTGCTAATATAGATTATTAATGGAGACATTCAATTACCATGAAATATCAGATCTGTTGTTCAAGGTATTTGGCAAAAGTTGGAGCAGATCTCACGGTTTTCAGTTAAACATAATTTTCGTGTTGTCTAGCAAATTTAGGGCATGCTTTATGACCATTTATGTGTTTGGTTTGGAAAATCTTCTAGTTTAGTATTACTAGGTTAAAATTTGACTTGTATGGGTAAGAATTTATAGAGGATCCTTGTTGTAATTTATTTCGGCTTTCAAAAATGATGTTTGAGGTATTGATGTTAAAAAACCGTTTCATATAAATTTTTCTCATCGGGTTGAGTTGTAAGAATTTGTGTGGTCGTTAGCTTTTAATAATGAAGCAAAATATCGAAGATTACGTCAAATTACAACATAAGCCATAAAATACCAATTTGACATTTACATGTGTTTGGGCTTCATTTTGTAATTAGCCCAATAAGAAAGAAAATACGGCTTGGTGGGTTGCGTTGAACATTCCATTTAATTACTTAAACCCCAAATCTTTTTAAGGCCCAGTGGGTCAAAGGGGCAGAAATGTCTATGCAGATCAACCAACTTGACGGATTAAAATTTACTTTCTCAATAGGAAACAGTTGTGCCCTGTACCACTGGAAATATATGGAAGTAATTTTTCTGAGAAATTTTACGGTTCGTGATTTCTGACATTACGACGCAGGCTAGTAAAACATGTGCGGAGATTTTGAAATAATATAAGCTGTCAAATCTTTATTAATTATTGAAATCTTCTTTGTCAACAAAAAATGGGTGAAAAGACTACTCAATCTTCTATCACACAAAAAAAAAATGATGAGCAATAATGTATTTTCACAGGTCCAAATTTTACTGTTTTTTATTGGAGCCTCATCTACAAGTGATGTTAAAATAGCTCCAATTTTTAAAAAACAAAAACCTCTTACTCCCCCACGTTCTCTCTCTCTCCCTCTCTCCTTCTCATTTTCTAAAAAAATGTGTTCATACACACAAAGTGTGTAGGCAAATGCTAGTTTCACTTAAAGAAAACGTCCAAAGAACAAGGGAAGCATCGAGAAGAGTCAAGACCAACCTAAGGTTCAGAAATTAATTAAACATGTAACCAATACTAAGAATGATGCATGATATGAACATATAATGCAAATACCTTCCGCCTAAATTGAGATTCTAAATTGTTAAGTTGTTATTCCATACGATTGATAGTATCATAATATTTATCAGTTCAAATTCAAGGACATAATAGCTTGAATCATTTTTATGCACGGTTGCTCCTTATACAACGAAATGATGGAGAGTTATAGGAATTATTTGGGTTTCACTCTTCCATGTTGCACATGGGATGGCTAACTAATTAAAACCCTAACTCTAGTTCAATTCAGATACAACTACGTAGGCCAATTAGGGTAGAACATTATTAACTCTAACAAGTATAAGGTATAATTAAATTGGCATGTTTTTATGGAATTATATAACGTGTGCGCGCAATATTAATTTAAGTTTTGCATCCATCGACATTCGATAACACAATTTAAACTAGTTATATATGATAAAACATCAATGCGTGAAATACAAAGTAGATAAGTACAATACAAGGAGAAAAAACACCTCAATTCAAAACTTGTTACAATGCTACAAATCTTGATTAATTAGTATACACGATGTTGAGAACTAGCGCTAACACCGCCATTCTTTTGGTGATATGGAGACCTGTTACTACTATGATGGTTATGTGCTGAAGAATATGGTTCCTGATCATGTCCTCTCCCATTGGATTTTGTACTTTTTGGTTTCTTCTTAATTTCGTTAATCTTCTCCAGAACTGTCAAAACCTCTTCCATGGAAGGTCTGCTTTTAGGATCAGGTTCTAGGCATTTGAGAATAAGCTCAGCTGCTTGGAAGGCACCTGTTAACGAGTATTCCTCTCCAAGCCCTGGGTCCATTATATTCTTCAGCAACTTTTTCTTGTGAAGCGACGGCCTCGCCCAGTCTACCAAACTGTACGCGCAAGATGGCCGATTACTGTCAACTGCCTGTAATCCCGTTAGCATCTCCAACAATACGACACCGAAACCATACACGTCGCTCTTTACGTACAAGTGCCCTGCAGTTGAACATGCATGTTAAGTGTTTGGAAAATGTTCATTTGTAGGCGGTCATCAACTAGGGTAAAGTACCAACCCTCCCTCACCACCGGAATTAACTCTAAGGGTTATATATTGCTCAACTACTTTACATGTAGAATTTATTTTTTTAAATATAAATAAATAAATAAAGGCATATAAGGAACCAATTGCAGAATATTTGCTACAGACTTTCTCATCGTCTTATATTATAGAACATATTGAAGTCGTATGATCTATTGAAAATGAAAGATTATGTAATCTAAATCTACTTCTCCTTGTTTTAAAATATATAGTAGAATTACGTATATAAATGAAATACATTACATCTGTTGATTTAAATACTTTGAAATTTAATCACTTTTATTGATGAAATTGTCACAGTGGGTCGATAGTATGATAAATAAATAAATAACTATAACTATATATATATATATATAGCAGTCAAGTCAAGTCACCTACGCGTACGTTAAGTAATGTTAATGGCTTACTGTATGTATACTCTATACGTACGATAAACTGATACTAGCTTAAAAAATCATTTAGCAGTCAAGTCACCCATTGCAAATTTTTTCTTGGCCGTAAGTCAATATATTATAATAGTCTCTGTGGAAATCGTGTATCTCTGACTGTTGAGAAAAGTAAGTTTTTCAATCATTGGCTCAAATGTCGTCGAACCCCCATTAAATGAAGAAATTTTTAATTGTGATGATATTAAAAGTAGTACATCACGTGTTTTAATAAGAATAATGAGAAATTTTATTTTTTAAATTATTAACTTTTTAGTACACATATCTCATTATTTGTTTAGTGACAAGCAATGTAGCACTCCGTGTACCGGTTACATTGAAAAATCTCTCTACCAAATGGACATAGGTCATCTTCGGATCCATGTATCCTAATTTACCAAATTTATGTATCTGGATCATTAAAATTTGATCCAACGATTAAAATTATCATAATTTTTAAAGTGAATCTATATTTGTAGTCGTTGAATCTAATTTTAATGATTCAGATACATAAATTTAGTGGATTAAGATACATAAATCTAGGGAGGACCCATGTCCCCACCAAATGCATCGTAGAGTTTCTCTCCTTTTTCCACTTGATAAAAAAAATTCAAAAGAATAAATACTAGGAAGACGACATAAAGTTTTCCAAAATGAAAGTCACTACTTGAAAAAGCTGGTTCTACTGACAAAAGAGTGATTTGCGTATATGAAATAAGACACTTTTAGATTCAAGTCCAAAAGTATAGATTATTTTCTGGACTCTAGTTATTTAATTACATATTTTATACTAATTTTGTCTTCTTAGATAAAATTATCTAAATTCATTAACTTTTGTGATAAAGTTATAATATAAAAAGAAAAAGTATGTAATACAATTAATCTGTGCTATAGATTATGAACAAAAACCTATAATATATGTAGATAAACAATTACACATATATTATACCTATAAACATATGAAACCTAACTAAAAGATACAAAAAAATTTATATATCTACAAGCAAAACACATTAATCAGTGATACATGTTGATATAAAAAGAATATTTCACATAGATAGAAGTTTATATACATTTTCATGTGAATATATATAAATAAGGAGATTACATCCGACTATTGAATTGATAATTGTATTAAATACTTGTAACTAGAGGGAAAGTTCAGCTAAACCACACAATGGATAAACTAATTTGGTATTGAATTTATTATCCACGTGATTTGAACCTAAGACCTCACACTTCTAAGTGAAGAGAAGTACCACTAAATCGTAATACTGAGTGACATTATTATTCTTGATAATGATATAAAACTGGATTCACGTTGGCTTAATGGTAAGGAAGGCAAGTAGGGCAGATCAATGTAGACAGGACACCAACGACCAAACCATACAATATATATGTACATATATTGTGTATCCAAAGACCAAACCATACAATATATATGTAAATATATTGTGTATCTTTTACATATCTTTCATTAGTCTAATTGTGCGATTGTACATGAACTTGTTGACTTTATCTTCCATGTGATACTGGCTAAATAGGAAAGTGGGAATGTTTTATGGACTTGGATTCTCTGCCCTCCCAATTCGGTGCCCTCCTCATGCCCTCCTGTTTGTGTGGTCACGGTTAAGCCACGTCAATATTTTATATTACTATTTTTTTTTGTCTTATTATTTTTATAAAAAAACAATATAAAATGTTAGCATGGATTAACCGTGATCACACAAAACAGGAGGGCACGGGGAGGGCACCGAAATGGGAGGGCAGAGAATCCAAGTCCATGTTTTATTGCCTGTGCAAATCAAATAGCTTGTAGAGAGCTAGCGTACTTACGTACGAATTCTAGGTTTTCTTTTGGGAGGTAGTAATGTAAGTAAATTTAAGTTAAACACGAAAATTAAAATGAACTTTCTTTCGTTAACAATTATTATGTGCTTCGATACACCAACCATCGAGAATATATTTAGTGTCTCCATAACACCAATGTGCGGTAATATTGCATACTGTAATACGAATAGACGACAAGGGTAGTGAAAATAATCTGGCTCGCCAACATTCTAACAAATCCATAATCAATAATGAATCTAGTGTGGAAAGTTTAGAGTTCTCGAATTAGGTTATACATATCAATGATTGGACGTATATTACTATTTATGGGGATGCTTCATCATATATAGACAGGACAGGATCCACGATGGGTCAGTTGATTCCATAGACCCCAAAAGGTTGGTTGAGGAAAGCATTGGTTGACCTCTTAGTCATCTAGATAGCAAGCATTTCGTGCACGCCGTGTGTTCAACTTTTACACATTGTTTCTTTTCGTTTATCTCTAGTAGAAGGTTTCAAGTTTCAAACTAAAGAAGAACTTTGGCTTAAAGTGAACCTTACCTATTAAATCCTGAGCCCGTTCCTGAATCTTAATTAGGGTTTTGCAAGAATTCTCATTTTTTCCTTTTGATCTCTACCACTCTGCAAGTTGTGAGAAAATGTGGGTTTCTTATGAGCTTTATTATTTTCGATTTTGATATTCTCATACTATCCAACCTTTGGCCTAAAATCTAAAATTTTTAGCCCAAAAGATTTAGGTTTTAACTTAGAAACAGTTTTTCTGCTCCAACATAGCCTAAAATTTTAGCCCCATATTATTAAAGAATGAATTTAGACTAATATTTTTCTTAAAGTAACTTTTTAAAAAATTATGTAGACTATCCTAATTTAATTTTATGAACATTTTAACCTAAAAATATTTAAATTCTGAAAAATACTGAAAAATCACTAACCGACACTATGAAAAAAATATGAAACAAATGAAAGATTTTTTTTTAAAATTACTTTAGCCGTTAGATTTAAATTTGGACCTTTAAATTATTTTTTTACGTTGAATTTCATCAAATTATATTTTAACCGTTGGATTCAATGTATTTATAAATATAAAACTAAATAAAATACACATATATGGTGGGCTAACCCTATTAATCCTGGGCTAAATTTGCCTTTTATTTGAGTTTTAGGTTTTAGGCCACATTTTAGCATTGGGTTGGGTTGAGTTTTGAGGGGAAATAGAAGTGGAAATTTGAGTTTTAGTCCAGGGTTAGAGAAGGTCTGGGTTATTTTGATCTTTAAATTAATTGCCCTAATTTTTCGAAACAGAGTGATATTCTCATTGTCTTGGGATTTGTTAATGGTTCAAGACTGTAGCCTTTTGTTTGTTTCCCATTTTTAGTTTTTTGTACTTGGTACAGGGGATCTGATTTTTGGAGTTTAGTATTTTTGGGAATTCCCTGGTGGGTAATACTTTTTCAGTAATATTAGTTGATAGCTTGTGCTAATTTGATTACATGCTATGATTAATATGATTTTATTAGTGGATAAAGTGATTAATTAGTTGAGCTTTTCTTTTGTTCGATTGATATATGTAAAATTATGGACCGATATTACAAGAAAAACTTTGTAGAAGCTAGTTCGGAATCTACAGATATTTCGACTAAAAATCTTGATTCGAAGGAGTAAAAATGCTGAATTCTCCATTGTATATACATATACACAATAATCCCTTACTAAACACCACCAAGTGGCTCAGGGCCAGTTTAGTGTTGATGTACGTTTGTATAGAAACTACTTAGTGTATTAAAAATAATCAAATGTAAAGAGAAGTCGTTAAATGTTTGGTCATAAATTTTAGAAATTAAGATAACATATGGTAATTATAATTCATGGTGAAGGATTTTGTAGTAATATCCAAATAAGATACTACAATAAAAAAGTTGAAGAGTACATAATAGATTATTATTATTTAAACAAACGATATTATTTATACTAAGAGAGTGGGGAGTTGGTTAAGCCTCACAATTTTCTTATAAGAAAAATGTTAGAATTTAAACTAAAGCCTTGCTATTTTCTTTTGAGGAAAAGTTCTAACGAAATGAAGATTTACAGAGTTATTAATTGCACTTTATAAAAACTTATCATGCACTTCCTTGTAAAATACAAAAAAAAAAAAAAAGTGCAAAATGATATTTTTAGTGTCACAAAAAATATATTTATCTTGAAAATTGTATTACCGGTTGCGACATATTCTGGAGCTGCATATCCCTGAGTTCCAATAATACGTGTGGTTACATGGGAGTTTCCATTCATCGGCCCTGTCTTCACCAGCCCAAAATCCGAAAGTTTTGCGTTGTAGGCCTAGATAACAAAATTACCAGCAAGAATAAAAGTCAATAAACGAAGAAAAAAAATTGTCAATTTAGAAATTTGTGTTTCAATTTCTTCTACTTTGTTTTTTGGTAAATGACAAGGAAAAAAAACAAAGAAAGAAGAACGTACCGGATCGAGCAAAATATTGGAGGCCTTAAAGTCACGGTAGATGACTTTTTCTGAGGTGTGCAAAAAAACAAGGCCTCGCGCAGCTCCAATTGCTATCTTTAGTCTTATTTCCCATGGAAGTGGTTCTTGACCTTCTGTAGAATTATCATGATCTCTTGTTAATCATATATATTTACTGCCTACTTTTTGACTGAAGTGTAGTAGACCAAAACAGACATGCATGCAATATTGCATTACAACTAATTAATATGAAACATGTGTGTATTCCAGTGTTTAAAATATCGATATCGGTGGAAATATCGATATGTAAATTTGTGAAAATATCGACGGGCATATCGAAAATTGATATCGGTTATTTTCAATGGAAATGACGAAAATTTAAATTGAAACTTTAGGGATTTTCAAACACTGGTTTGGACGAAATATAAGAGTATTCGATATTTAACAAATGTGTTAGAAATATCAACAATATTTGTCGATTTTAGCCTAAACTTAAAAGTTTATCCGATATGAGGTGAAGCCCCATTTCCAAATCTTTCTTTGATTTTTTTTTGAATATTTACTTTAAAATATTGATTGTATCGAAGAAGTTTTAAACATTGATGTATCCTTGTTTATATATGTTAATCTTACTTCTGAAAAGGTGGCCTTCCAAGCTGCCTTTCGGCATATATTCGTAGACAAGAAGGAATTGGCTTTCTTCACAGCAATGTCCCAGCAGCCTCACAAGGTTTGGATGATGACACTTCCCCAAGAAATTCACCTCCGCCTGCATATATACCAACCCAACTATTTAATATCATATATGGAAAGAATTAACTATTTATTAATTAGTCACTGCTAATAATTTATTTTCATGCAAATGCAAATATGTTTTGTGTTTATAAATGGAAGACCACTAAGACCAAAGCTAATCATGATTCATCAGCCGCTAGTACGTAGTACTGCTACCTTAACAACTAAAGCCTGCAATCATGGAAGTCATACTGTTCGATCCACTAGTTTATATATATTAGGGTTTTTAAGGTTTATTGGAAGGATAATGCTAGGGAGATTAAATTTTGAGACAAAGTTTTGAAAACTAAAGGACATGGAAGTTGATGATTGATTGATTACTTAAACGTTGATAAACGTTTTTATTACTCTTAGTGACACATCATTTAGTTTGCAAATTTAGTTTCTCTAGCATTACTCTTATTAGAATCACATTTTATGTGTTAGTGAGAGATGATTGATAAACTTTTTTTTTTTTCACTTTTTGAATTTTTTTTTATATTTATTATAGTTGTTTTTAACGGAAAACTGAAAGTTTTTTGAGTTTCAAATTTTGGTTTGATTTTAATTTTTATAATCATTTTTTTAACTGAAAACTAAAAACAATTAGGAAACAAGTTTTTAAAAAATTTAAGTATTAGTTACAATGACATCTTGTGCCCAATAATTCAGGCCATGTCTAACATGAGGAGAAACGTTTAACTCAAATGTAGGGTGCCACATGCTTAATTAAGCCATACTAATTAATAATACTAGGCATATGATCATGTCAAGTTATATATACTAATATCATGAAAATTAATTTTACTTGGCCAGCAAAAGCAATTAAGCCTTTAGCTAGTAGCCAAAAATATTGTGCATATAAATATGTGCATTATATTACTAATCTATCGGCAAACCCTAGCTAATTAAATAAAAAAGAATTACTTGCCTGCCATTCTTGGTGACCTTGATAGCTGTCTTCGCTGGACTTCTTGACTGCGACGGCCAAGCCAACGCCGACCTTAGACGGGGCATATGTGACGGGATCGACCCAGCCCTTGAAAACCCTTCCGAAACCTCCCTCTCCTAGTATTGTATCTGGTCGAAAATCTCGAGTACACTTCTTCAGATCTGCTAACGTGAACTCTTTCAACTTTGGTATACATTCAATTGGAGCAGCTGTTGCTGCCGCAGCAGGAGGAAGAGGAAGAGCCACACCTCCAGCTGCTTCAGTATAATTCTTTCTCCTCTCCGTTGTTCCACCAGTACTTCTTTTGCCACTAATATTCCTGGGAACTTTTTTGGTGCTGACACCTTTTCCTACGAATCCATTGTTCTTGTTAATGTATCTCGATGCTACTGCCAATATATATAAATATTTTCATAAACGTGCATGTGATTAAATTCTCTTAAATAAATTCGCATTAATGAACACTTAAAAGTTGAAAACCAAACAACTTTCATGGCAAAGAGAGGACGCAAGAAAATTGAAGTTTTCATGGCAACCAAACAAAAAATAAAGGAAAGAAGCGATTGAAGAATTTACTTTGGAGGGGAATATTTGTAGTAACTATGCATATATAATATATATACCTAGGGTAGCCGGCTTGGTTGTAGATGCTGAACTATGATTGACAGGAGCTCCAAAACAGATTCCCATGGCGAGCAAGCAACCGATCGATGATCACTCTCAATCTCCTGATCAATGGTTGATTCCTCAGCTGAGAAGCCAGCTATTTAATTTGATCCAGATATATAGTGATGTGGTCTTCTGGTGTCTGTCTCCAAGTTCCAGGAAAGAGTGGAAGAAGCAACAAAGAAATAGCCAAGCAAGAAAAAAGTAGCCACCTATAGAACTCGATATGTACGTAATAAGTGTGTACTTGAGACTTTTGCCTTTGGACTTTTTTCACAAACACTGAGACAGAGACATAGGCTTCAACATATATATTTTTTAAATACAACGATATTATTCACACTGTTATGTTGCTTTTTCATATTATTCCCGCATCTTAGTCAATATATACTCTTCCTTGCCCAACATTTGTGCTAGTATTGAGGGAGAGAAGCTAGTATATAGGATGATGTTATTCAAGTACTTATTTTTACTTCTCAAACAATCTTTTCAATTTCCAGTCATCGGATTGAATAAATTGAAGAAGATTAAATGGACACAAATTAATAAGGATGTGTGAGACGTAAAAATAGGTGTGTGAATAACACTATCCCATATATATATATATATATATATATATAAAATATGGGAATGAAAGCTCAGGCTATTAGAGGAGTAGGACAAAATGATAAACAAGTGGAATTTTACGAGGCAGGTCAATGGCAGCGTCACGCAGACCAATCCCCACTTTGGGCGGCAGCAGCAAGAATCATGCGAAGATAGCTGCGACTTTTATCGACGAAAGGAATGGCGATTCCAACGACTCTGGCGACAAGAATCGAAGTACGACGATTATCTTGAGGACGAGCGTTGCCGATTCGTCTCAGCAGTGGGCAGTAAAGATGAATATGCCAAGTGATGACAGATTAGTTAGCATAATCAGTCAATCATTTAATTACATGTGGATGTAATTATAGTTAGTTTGTTATAGTTGTTATGTAAATAGGTTTGGCTATATATACCAAAACAATGAGAAGAGGAATTTTCAGAGAGACAATATTCTTTGGTTTCTTTAGGCAGGCCTCCAGCCCCGCGCTCTTGCAGCTCGCGTTGGCCATGGTCTGCAAAAGGGACTCTTTTGAGAACCCAAAGAAACATAGAATTGCGAATGAGTGATTCTCTTAATGTCACTACAAAATTAAGAAGAAGTAGAGGCGTTACGTTAATAGTTGCATCCATTAGATAATATTAGGGGCAAAAAATGAAAACTCTGCATCTAATAGTAAGGAGGGATAGATGATGTAATTGCCCTTAAAATTAGTGTTGTAACTCTAATAACAAATAGGGGCGAAAAGGTAAATATATCCGTCTCTAATACTCTCATTGCCACGTAAGCATGTTTATTGTTGAAAAAACAATAGGTTCAGATAATGATTAGGGGCATTATACTATTTATTCTCCAAATCTATGTAAATCTTGGTTAATTTTCAAAGTCAAATGTCGGTTTGGTTTTCAAATCCTGAATTATGTTATATCATCAATATTTACTTTAATTCATTAATTAATTAAGTGAATGTATGTTCTTCCGCTTTAGTCTGCCATAGAATTTGATTTAACTTGGTCGCCTTCAAGGGAAGTTCTTCCTCTTGAGTCTACCAAGGCCATGACCTGTAAACAAAGAAAAATGAATCTGTCGTATAAAGAAGAAAAAAATAACAAATTAACCAATACAAAATCCATAGAAAAGTAACCATGAATAAGATTTCTGAATACAAGAACAAGGTTTAAAAATTATAAAGCAATATGACGCCTTCAACATCCACCGCTTGAGCATTCAACCTTCAACAAGAACACAAATCAAATGCAAGTGAGCTAAACCAAATTTACGTGAGAAAGATAAAAAAAAAATAAATCAATTTATAGTTACATGATTTACCCAAAAAATGTAACAGATTTATCAAATCCAAAAGAAAAATTATACCAAAAAACACACCTTATCTAAAGAGGTAAATTCCTAAAGTTAGAGTAATGCTACCATCTAATGTTATATAATAATGTCCTATATTTACAAAAAAAAAATTGCTTTTTTAGCACTTTAAAATCTCATTGTACACCAATTATAAGAGTAATTTTTTTCCCCTTTCTAAATATAAAAATTTAGATACAATGAGATATTTTCTAGAAATAACACCCTAAAAATGATTTTTTTTGTATCCAATTTTATTAGATAATAGTGTTATATGTTCAAGTGAACTTTAAAGTTAGAGTTTTTGAAGTTTTCTGTATTTCATGTTTGGTTGTTCAAGAATAAACAACTTTTGATTATTTAGTGAATGTTATGTTTGTAACTCTTTGTACTTATAATTAATGACATTTGTAAACTTGCAATCAGTTAGTGCTAAAATTTATTTCGATTTAATTGATTGTTTTCTAGTATCAATACATTGTCATTTTTTTAAACTATCTTAAGGATGGCCCTTTTTCAAATTTCACGCAGGGCCTCCGAAATTTCAGAGACGGCCATGACGAGGCACTCCTTCAAAAGATGTAAAAAAAAAAAAATGCAAATTTGCATTTTAATTTACATTTTTGGATCAAGATGTCAATTTTACATCTTTTCATTGGAGGACTTTCCGGCCAACCAAAAATATAAAATGCTTATTTCGAGACATTTTACATCTTCAATTGGAGATGCCCTCATGAAGAAAGTTTATCTATTCCAATCCTATCTAAAATGATAGTATTAAAAGGGATGAGCTTTATTCATGTCTAATCATCTTCTAATCCACTCCAGATGAAAAATCATTCCCTCACCTTTCAATATACGATAAAATTAAGAAAGTATCCTTTCCGTCCCAATCCTACGTACTAAACGAAATCCAAGGCCATTTGTAAGAATTGCCAAAATCCCTTTCAAGATATTTTGGTAAGATTTGCATTTCGTCAGTGACAAATCCCACGTACATCAAGATGATGCTACTACATTATACCTCATTTACTAAATAAATAGGCCCAATATTTAGTAAGGGAATTGTTATTGGCACTCCAAAATTCTCATTCTACACTCCAAACTTTCTATATTTAGAAAGAAAAAAACACTTGTGAGGAGTGTAGAATGAGATTTTTGGAGTGCCAATTGTGGATGCAAATTTTCCCCTTCTCCATCTTTGACAAAATTGCACCTACAAAACAATTAACACCTTTGGTCAAGGCCAAGAGCCTCATGCACCCACGATGAATGGGGGGGGCTTTGGCAGAAGAACCTCTGATGCCAAAGTTAGAAATTATAGAGAAAAAGTGTTTAGAGAATTTTTGGGCGTTTTGCAAGAGTATGAACCTGTTTGGGCTCAAATTTCCACCATCGGCCCGTGCAATCGAGGCTGTTGAGTGAGCATGGTTCTAAACCGTTGAATAAGAAAGTTAAGATAATTTTATTTTGTTAAGAGATAATGTTATGATAATAATTATCTTTTAATAAAATAAATCATCTTGATTTTCTTGTACAAAATAAATGGGATACAGCAAGCGAAATAGTCCGAATTAATTTGGAGTTGTTACCTTGTGGGTTAAAGCAGCTCGGCTTAGGACTCTTATCATGTGGCATGGCAGGGATGTGGGTTATGATGGACTTCATCCTACGGATGGGATAACGAAATGGTGGTGTGATGTGGCCAAAGGTTAGCTCACATGCATGAATGAAGGTGGGGCCGAATAAACCTTGGCATCCTGCCAAGAATCTAGTCAAACAAATTACATTAACTTTCGTGGGCTTTGAAAAAATGGAAAAGATGTGGTCAGGTTGCGTTGCATGCATGGATGCATTTGCGCAAAAGATAAAGGAGATGCCACTGGCATATTCCAGTTGGAATTATCATGATGATAATATGGTGAATAGGTGATAGGATATGGCACGTGGTGCATGAGAATTTGAGGTTAACAACAACTCTAAGTACGAGCCTTATCAAGTGACTAGTGTATCTAGTCTGAAAAGAAGAAAGGTACAATTGCCAACCCTCCCCAAATACCAAGATAACGGCAAGGGATTTTTTGTGATAACTATTTCAAAAGAGTGTTTTGCTTTCGACTGGAACTGCACGGGTTTGCTACTGGGCATGCAGGTCCTTATAAATACAGAGGCAATACATCATTAAGAGGACCTCCTCCAATTCAACACACAACTGCCCTGCGCAATCTCTCTCAACAACTTTGAGATTTTTTATTTTCTCTTTTCGCTAACACAACTTCCGTTGGCATCAAGAGCACTGTGAAAGCAACCGGTGATATCTTCAGTCGACATAGATAGCTCTGTCCCCGTAGAATCAGTCGATCTCGTAGCATCTTCCGTTGGCATCAACAGCACTGCGGTGAGGACGGTTGGTTATCTATCCAAGTCTCGGTCGAGAAGGATTTCTGGATCTTTATTGGTCGAGGTCATCTCATTATCTTCTCGGCGAAGTGAGGTGTTACAAGTTATTACATTCGGCACATTGAAAGCCGAATTTGATATTGAACTTCGCAGAACTAACAACCTTGTCTTCAGGCTCTAGAACCCGAAGGCCGAGAGTGTTCCTTCCTTGGCCGTAGTCGCGAGATTCAGAAGTCAGTAGCGCACCCAACGCAACATCAACAAATTTTACTCCTCGGCCGAACTTGGCCAACGAGTTGGCACGCCCCGCACACAACCGAATGACGTAGTTAGCTTACTAATTACTCGGCCTGCGCGCCATGTAGCTTGGTAGTTTTTAGGGTCAACATTTTGGCATGCCTAGTGGGACCTAGTGCTAAAACTACGAAGTTCACATGATCTATCTCGATCAGTCTTCATGGGATGAATGTCATCGCCTATTAAAGAAGCAAAAACAACTCTTCGAGAGATTAAGAAGAATTTCTGAAAGGCAAGAGGCCGGGGGGCAAATTCCCGCTCCGGCCACAACCAATATTCGGCCTAAGAAAATTGTTAATTTGGCCGAAGAAAAACCTAGGCCGCCTGTTGTTTTGGTCGACATTGAGAGTGTGTTAGGCCTAGAAGAAAAAATTCAAGTTTCTAAGCCGCAACTCGACTTAGAAAATGATTCGTCAGAAAAGTGTTCCAATGACAAACAAGGCCGAGACATTGGCCTCGCCCAAGAAACCACGCCAATTGATATGATTATTGGTGAT